GGGGGGGGGGGGGGGGGGGGGGGGGGGGCTACTGTAAACTGTGGTTTGCTAACTGTAAAGGTAAAGGTTCCCCTTGTACATAGGTGCTAGTTGTTCCTGACTCTAGGGGGCAGTGCTCATCTCCGTTTCAAAGCCGAAGAGCCAGCGCTGCCCGAAGACGTCTCCGTGGTCATGTGGCCGGCATGACTCAATGCCGAAGGAGCACGGAATGCTGTTACCTTCCCACAAAAGGGGGTCCCTATTTTTCTACTTGCATTTTTATGTGCTTTCGAATTGCTAGGTTGGCAGAAGCTGGGACAAGTAATGGGAGCTCACTCCATTACGTGGCACTAGAGATTCGAACTGCCAAATTGCCGACCTTTCTGATCGACAAGCTCAGCGTCTTAGCCACTGAGCCGTTGCTAACCTGCACAGATGTTCTTACTAACCACAGTGGCTAGGGTTTCCAAATCACGCTTAGCTAACCCCCAACCAACCTCCTCCCTTCCGCTCACTGCCAGGACTCTGCCCTTTGGCCCATCAGGTTGGCAACTTTGTGCCCATCTGGGTCAAACCGGACCAAGATGCCCCTCCTACATCTCAAACCCTCCCTCAACCTTGCCAGCTCCATCTGCATGGGCCATTCCACTCACCTGTAACCCCGAAACCATCCCGGGTGATTGAACCGGGCAGGTAAGTCGTGGCTCACCCGATATTGATCGCTGGTTCTCTGGGCTAACCGACTTTCGTCCGCGCTGCGCAAGGCGGCAGCAGTGGCTTCAGGATTGGGTTCCTCGGCCATGGGAAGGGCTGGGTGGGTTGTGGTCGCTCAGAACAAAGCCCCTCCGTCTGTAGGAAGAGAAGAGCCTGTGGGCCAGCCTGGTACCCACGCACCGGCTTTGGCGTGGAAACCAAGCTCAGGTTGCTAGGAAACCATGTCCAGGTTGCTACGAAACAGCTCCAGGCATTCTGGTGCATTTAAAGCAACAGCAACTTCCATGCATTAGCCTGCACTTGATAGGGGGGGGGGGATGGGGAGGGTGGCAGACAAAATCCGCTTTTCTTCCAACTTGACAAAGGAGGCTGAAAGCCACCCACCCACCCACATCCTGTTGCTTGATGAGTGAATCCATCACGAGACCCAAAAGTGAGGATAGGAAAGGATAGGATAGGAGAGAAAATAGGATAGAAAATAGAATAGAGAATAGAATAGAAAATAGAATTGGATAGAAAATAGAATAGAAAATAGAATAGAATAGAAAATAGGATAGAAAATAGAAGAGAACAGAATAGAGTAGAAAACAGAATAGAGAATAGAATAGAAAATAGAATAGAATAGAATATATGATAGAAAATAGAATAGAGTAGAAAATAGAGTAGAGAATAGAATAGAAAATAGAATAGAATAAAATAGAATAGAGAATATTATAGAAAATAAAATAGAATACAAAATAGAATAGAATACAAAATAGAATAGAAAATAAATAGGATAGAAAATAGAATAGAGCATAGAATGAAACATAGAATAGAAAATAGGATAGAAAGTAGAATAGAATAGAAAATAGAATAGGATAAGAAAATAGAATAGAACATAGAATAGAATAGAAAATAGAATAGTCTAGGAATAGGAATAGAATAGTCCTATCAGCTGCCTGCAAATTGTAATTTCCACAGGACCATGAATGATGAATGGAATAATTGCATTAACTGGAGTACACTATACATACAGTAATTCAGTTTAAATTGGCCAGATTTAGTTCTTCTTGCTCTGTCTCATTCTGTGAATTTTAGGCTTCGTGATTAACATTTTGAAAGGCGACAGGGGCATTTTGAATGCATCTTTTCTTCAATAGGAAGCCTGCATGAAACCCCAAGACCCCAAACTGGGCAGAATCCTCTCCATTTGGGGGTGGGGAAGCCCTTTAAGTTTGCCATCTGAAGTAAAAAAAAGATACAGCCCGTTCCTTAGTCCAGGCCTTTAAAAAAAAAGGAAATATTTCGCTTTTCCAGGTTGACAGCAGGTGAGGGTGAGGGGGGCAAGAGGGTGACAGCTCCCATCCCCCAGACAGCCTGCCCAAAGCAAACCTCGACAAAAGTAACTGGAGCTCCCCGCCCAGCTCTGTTCCCCTCCCCCCCAGGCACAATCCAGGGGAACGGAGCAAATCGGGGTACAAGACTTTGGCCGTCCTGGACTCGAACCCACGACGTTGCCTAGCGACGTGTGGGCGTGGCCAGCGGACGTCGGCCGGATTTGTGGCCGCGTGGGCGGAGCCATGAGACGGGCATTACTCTGGCTAGCCCCGCCCCGGTTCCTGGCGCGCGCGAAGGAGGGCGAACTGCGCCTGCGCTCCAGACCAACATGGCGGCCTCCAGGCTCCTCTCGCGGACAGGTGGAGAGGGACCTGCGCTCGGAGGGAGGGTCGCGGGGTCGCGCCGGGATGGGGCTCCGGCCTTTGGCCCGAGGTCTTCTGCCCCCAGCGGGGTTGGGGTCTGCAGGCCCGGGAGAGGCGGGGGCGCACCTTGCACCGCCGGCGCTCCCTGATTTGATGGGGGGCATACAGGTTGTCCTCGATTTACGGCCACAATGGAGCCCAATATTTCTGTTGCTCAGTGAGACATTAAGTGAGCTTTGCCCCGTTTTGCGACCATTCTAGCCACGATTGCTAAGTGAATCCCTGCAGATGTTAAGTTAGTAACAAGGTTGTTAAGCGAATCCAGCTCCCCCACCCCCATTGACTTGGCTTACCAGAAGGTCGCAAAAGGGGATTATGGGGTTGCAACCGTCATAAGTACATGCCAGTTGCCAAGCCTCCGATATTTTGATCATGTGACCGTGGGTGTGTGGCAAGGGTGTGAAAAAACGGTCATGAGTCACACTTTTCAGTGAGGTGGTAACTGAACGGTCACTAAATGAGCTGTTGTATGTCGAGGACTACCTCTATTTGCCCTCCCCATCCACCCCCAGCCCATGTTAAGATGCTGGACTCCAACTCCCAGAATGCCCCACACAGCGTGACGTCCAGCATCTTGAAGCAGGCAAGGGGGAGACATGAAGGGCTGTGGTATGGCGGGCTTTAAGAATCCCTATGGTTGTGGGGGTTCAGAAACTAGTATCCCCCCCCCAAAAAAAATCCTGTGTTTGACATAAGACACATTGAACTACAGTGTCATCTCCTGTTTGCTAGGAGCTCACCCCTTGCCTTCTCTCTTTTCCTCACAGCAGCCCTTCTTCGGCCCAGCAGATGTGTGACAGTTGTGAGATCCACATCCGGACTCCTGAGGCATCACAGGACCCTCTCGGTTGCACCAGCCAGCCAGCCACAGGATGGTAAGTCTCTCCGGGTCTGGGGGCTCAAAGCCATGAGGAAAGCAGCAGAGGATCCTGGAGCAAGGTGTGGGAGAAGGAAGCCGGAGTGCTTGCCCGTGGGGAAACTGAGGCCTGATTCTAGTGGGTGCTCCTCCTTGAAGCTGTTTCTCTCTTGCAGATGCACATGCATACATCTGAACTAGACTGTTGTTTCTCTGTGTCATATAATATATGCGGGTATTTACATAATTTTTGGTTATTTATTTTGTCATGTTTATGTAGTGTATATTGGAAGTGGTGACCCTTTGAAAACTGCATCCAACAGAATTTCATTTTAATGTATGCTGATGAGTGTACATTCAAAGTGACAATAACGTTACTCTCTTCTATTCTAAATTTTATCCTATCCGTCCCTAATTCTATCCTATCCTAATTCTATTCCATTCTATTCTCTCTTCTTATTCTCTTCTCTATTCTATTATTATTGTTATTCTGTTCTATTCTTATTCTGTTTATTCTTATTCTATCCTATTCTCTATTCCACCCTACCCCTTTTCTAATTCTATTCTATTATTCTATTATCCTTCTATTCTTTTATTCTATATTCTATTCTACTCTATTTAATTGTAATACATTTCTTTTTCTATTCTAGATATTGAGGAGAAGCTTCTGCGGGAGCCATTGAAGCATGCAGACTTCTTCAATCTGCAGGAGCTCTTTTCTCTCCAGGAGCTCTTCGACGCTCGAGTCCACCTTGGCCACAAGAAGGGCAGCCGCCACAGGTCAGTTCTTCCCCAGGGCTTGCGAGCCACAAAGAGCAAATTCCCTGGCTAGGCTCACACAAAATCTCAGCCCGGATTGCCAAAACATAGTTGCCACGTTTTGGTTAGGTCCAAAGAAATAAACCCCGATAGGCTAAATAGACAGCATACAGCTTCCCACAACCATAGTTGCCACCCACTGTGGCCTAGATTTGAATCTAGCTTTGGGTCGGAGCTTTGGAGATAAGCATTGCTCAGGCAACTTTCCTGCCGTTCCATCTAGAATTGTCCTCAGATTTTCCTGAGATTCAGTTTGGGACTTTCGATGTGTAACTGACGGGTAGATGTATTTGACTTCCTCCCCACCCCACTCGCTAAGATAAAATGTAGTTGGATATTTTGGAGGGGGCGAGCTGTTCGTTATCTCCATTAGATATTAACAAGTTCAGTCATAGTTGTGTGAATAGAGCAACTGGTTAATTCCGTGAAGCACAGTTTGGTTAACTGGAAATCTTTACACAGAAGATTATAACGCAAAACGATTTTGTTCAAAGGTGAAGTTTGCATATTTCTGGGGAAGCACCTTGCTGTTTATATAGCTATTCTCCACCTCCTGGCACAGATGGCTGGCCAGGGTGCTGGAGGACAAGAGGGGCCAGGGGTTCCATTAACTTGGCATTGCTTTTCACTGCTTTTGAAATGTTTTCCTTCGTTACCCAAAACTGCTTATTAAAATGTCTTTCCCCCCCTGTAGGTAAAACACTTTCTAATCAAATGTTCCTGTTGTGATGTATAAGGGATTTGCGTATCATTACCCCCAAAAGCTCACTTTTACCTAATTTTGGATAATTGATTCAAGTTTGGGAAGCACGGGTGTAGGTTTTTATGTCTGGCTGGTTGATTTGGCCTCTTTGCAAAAGCTCAAAACTTCTGCCTGATAAAATAGGAATATGAGAGGTGTGTACAGATTGTCTTCGACTAATGACCAGAATTAAGGCCAGAAATTGGGTGTGGGCATGGCTTGGTGGGTGTGGCAGGGGAAGGATACTGCAAAATCCCCATTCCCTCCCCACTCGGGGGCCAGCCAGAGGTGGTATTTGCCGGTTCTCCAAACTACTCAAAATTTCAGCTGCTGAATTTCACCTCTGGAATGGCCCCTTCGGCCGGTAGTCCTTGTTTGCCTCTTTTTCTGGCCTGGGGACAGCTTCAGACCGTCTGCTTGTTCTCTCTGCAGATACATGGTGCCGTATCTCTTTGGCTGCCGCTTGGAGCACGACATCATTGACCTTGAACAGACGGCGCAGCACCTCCAGCTGGCCCTCAATTTCATGGCCCACGTGGCCTTCCGCAAAGGCATCATCCTCTTCATCAGCCGCCATCGCCAGACGTCCCACCAGGTGGAAAACGTGGCCAAGGAATGCGGGGAGTACGCCCACACCCGCTACTGGCAGGGCGGCTTGCTGACCAACGCCCCCATCCAGTACAGTGCCGGTGTCCGCCTGCCGGACCTCCTGATCTTCCTCAACACTTTCAACAATGTCTTTGAGCCTCACCTGGCCATCCGGGACGCGGCCAAGATGAGCATCCCCACCGTGGCTGTGGTGGACACCAACGCCAATCCCTCCCTCATCACCTACCCCATCCCGGGGAATGACGACAGCCCCTCGGCCATCAGCCTTTACCTCTCGCTCTTCAAGACCACCATCTTGAGAGCCAAGGAGAAGAGGAGGCACCTGGAGGCTTTATTCCGGCTGCAGAAGAAGTCCGCCAGGCCCATTGCCCCCCTCCAGCGCCCAATTCCTAGGGTGGATGAGGAGAACGGGCATTCCAACTCCTCAAGTTAGGACTTGCAGTCTCTACATATACCTGCTGGACTGAACCCCTCCCATTTCTTAGCCTGCCTCTAATACAACCGAGGTGGGTTTCTCCCAGTTTGGCCCGATTTGGCCGAACCGGTAGTGGAATTCAGGCCTGGGTTGCAGAACCGGCAGCATCCTAGGCCTGCCATGCCCCTGAACCGGTTCCCTCACCGCCATTGGACTGCCGCCATTTTGATTTTTAGTGGCTGCGCATGCACAGTTCACCGTCTACACAAGTGCAAAGAACATTTCACATTGAACTGTGCATGCCGTGGGTGTCCGGCGTGCACGCTGGTTGCAAACCAGTAGTAAAACCGGCAGCAACCCAACCCTGTACTACAAGGTAGGGAAGCAGAGGTTGCAGATCACACAGCCTCTAACTATTAGGGATGCTGGGAGCTGTAGTTTAATCATTAGGAAGACAAAGGTCTCCCACCCGCCTTCTGTTCTATGTGTTGCCTTTCCACTTCAGTCTTCACTCTTTTGAGCTGCCAGTTTTTTAAATTATAAATGTTATTGAATGCAGCAGTTTTCACAAGAACTGGCAGCTAAAGGAATAAATTGTCTGGATGGTATTTTGGTTTCTTCAGTTCAATGGTTTACATCTTAGCGGTTTACATCTTGGTGGTCAAAATGCCAGTTCAGGAGTTATTAAATTAGGATTAAATTATTCTCCAAAGCACCAGAGAAGCAGGACAAGAAACAATAGATGGAAACTACCGTATTATTTGGAGTATAAGGTTTTGAAGAGGGAAATTTAAAAAAAAAAGGTTTTTGCACTTTGCAAACCTCCCCAAAACGGCCTGTTTTTGTGCTAAAACGGGCTCACCCCCCCTCCGGCATGAATAGCCTTTAGGGGGCTTGCAGAGTGTTCCTGGGTGGTGCCCCCCGCAAACGAGCAAGAAACCCTGTTTTTTGTCAAAAAGAATTCCATGCATAGCCTTTAGGAGGCTTATAGAGTACTCCTGGGGGTGGGGGGTGGGGGGGGCAAAATTGAGCAAAAAACGGCTTGTTTTTCACTCATTTCTGTCTTCTCCAGCCTCCAGGAGCTCTCTGAAAGACTCCTACAGGCTCTGCAAGGCCATTTTGGTGAAGGGGCGGGGCTTTGGGACCAAAAAAATGCTGTATTCTGTGTATAAGACATACCCAGATTTTCAGCCTCTTTTTTGAAGGAAAAGTGCGTCTTTATACTCTGAAAAATACGGTAATCAAAGAGAAGCAGCCTGGAATTAAAGAGAAATTTCCTAACAGTAAGGACAATTAGCCAATGGAACAGCTTGCCTCCAGAAATTCTGGGTGCTTCATCATTGGAAGATTTTAAGAAGAGATTAGGCAGTCACTTATCCGAAAGAGTATAGGTTCTTCTGCTTGAGCAGGAGGTTGGACTAGAAGACCTCCAAGGTCCCTTCCAGCTTATTCTACTCTCTTGAAAAGAACGTGGAGTGGAGAACCAGTGGCTGCCTGCTACCATTGAGGCACATTGCAACCCTTTTGTTTTGCTAATTCCCTGGAGGGCACGTTTTTTGGTAAGTTGTTGGATGAAGCCATGTTTCCCCCCAAAATATATAGAAGGTAGTCCTTTAATTATGGCGCAGTGGCTAAGACTGAGTTTGTCATTCAGAAAGGTCGGCAGTTTGGCGGTTCAAATCCGTACTACAGGTCTCCTGCGTAAGCAGCGGGTTGGATTAGATAACCTACAAGGTCCCTTCCAACTCTGTTACTGTTTATGATGGTAATGGAGCCTGCCCATTATGGTCATACATCATAATGGCCATAAAGCAGGTCACCTGCATGGCCAGCCCAGTTTTGACCTTGTTTTTTGCAGTGATCGTTAAGGAAAATGCTGCGGTTGTTATACAACCCCCCCCCCCTTTTTTTTTTAGCTATGCCAAAAAATTGAAATGTGACTTCCGTGCATTGCAAACCTCTCTAAGTGTGGGCTGGTGGCTGAGCATCCAAAAATCACATGAGTGGAAGAAGCCTGGCTCTTGGAACTGGGTTGTAAGCGTCTTCTGGGGCAGAGGCCCCCAATCCCTGAGCCACGGCCCAGTACCAGGCTGCAATCCATTTGGAACTAGCCACATAAC